CAGTGATCTTGAACTTCATGATATAATAAATACATTAAAGTTAATCGGTGACCAGCTGAGGTGATTGGGCCGTCTCCATGGTTACTGAATGATAAACAAGGAAAACCATAACTCGTTATCACGGGAAAACGGTCCTTGTTATCTCGTGATAACGAGAAAACCATGGAATATAATTATAAGCGGAAAACGGCCACTCTCAGCTTCCGTAGGTTTTGACATTTTAAACCGATGCAAGTTTTTAAACAAAAAATTCGTATCTAATCTGATCCTTCCTCAAACTAATCTGTGTAGCAAAATTAACATTTTTCTGACTTAAATTCCAAAGCAAAAGACACATCAAATAATCAAAATTCCCCAAATGCAAGTGTGTAAAAGATAAAACTTAGATCTTGATTTCAAACATCCTGTTCAAAAAGGTATTGTGTTTAGAGTAGTTAGAATTCAAGCCAAGTAGATGGATGGTTAATGAATGGTTTGGTATGAATGGTTGATTAGTTTCATAACTGGATGGATGGATGGATGGATGGATGGATGGATGGATGGATGGATGGATGGATGGATGGATGGATGGATGGATGGATGGATGGATGGATGGATGGTTGGTTGGTGGTGATGGTGTTGGGGATTTATTTAAAGGGCTGAACCTCATTACACAAGTTTTGTGCATGCTTAAAAAGCTGCTGGACCCTCCGTAACTATTTATGGCATGTAAAGCCRTTAGCTTGGCGAGGCGAGATTGTCCACACTATTTGTCTGATTGGATTTAACACATTGAGTTGTTCCAGCAGACTTTAAGGCAGATGGAAAATTGTTGTTTTCTGCCTGGCCGAAAACAGTTTCTTCTGTTCCCAAACAACTGATTACAGATTTGGCTCTTCCCCCACATGGTCTTGAAGAGCTGTGGGTCTAATTTCTCCTGGTGTTTATGTCGACTGAGGCTCGGTCCCCACCTTCCCCTCTCTCACTCCCATCTGTAATCTTGTTTCTGGAGCAAGCCGAAGGCCACAAAGAATAAACAGTTAACATCATTATTCTGAACTATGGCTGGGTGGGTTTTGGGGACTAGATTCTTCGGGCTCATTCTTCATATATTCACACAAGTGCATACAACAAGCATGGCTTCAGATACATGCCCCCCTAAACTCAACTTACTCCTCTGGTTAATAAATGTGATCTTGCTCTGCAGAGATTTTTTTTCTATAAACACCATAGTGTGTCACATTTCATTGATATAATGTGTTTTATTTTGTTTTTTTTTTTCTCATCTTCCCTTGTGTGGTTTTTAGTTTTTCTTTTAAGGGTAGCACCTCCTCATGATGTCTTCATGAAGATGATCCTTATTCTGTGCAGGGTCTGTGGCTGAATGACCCAGAGCACCTGTTCTCCTATGTTTCTTATGTTCTGTTTTCTTGTGGATGGGTGTTCTGAGCTATAATTTCATTATGCTTTGTACAATGACAATGAGGGTTTATCTTATCTAATCTTATCTTATCTTATCTTATCTTATCTTATCTTATCTTATCTTATCTTATCTTATCTTATCTTATCTTAATGATGATCCCACCACCTTTGTTTTTATAACACACCTGAAAGTCTGTGGTTTGATATGAGTGCCTCTCTTTTGCAGAAGTGTGAAATATGTTATTTATAAATTCCTTGTGCACTTTGCTTTTTTTTTTTTTTTTGCTGTAGAAAAAAAAGCTGTTTAAGTTTAAAATGGACTCTACTTTTGTTTGTCTTTCAGGCACGCACATCTGGTCTCATATTTGCTCCTGTTCTGTGAGGTCATGACCAGACACTACCATGCCTCAAGTGTCCTAACACTCCTGGTCCTCTTCATATTGGTATCCTTTCTCCATCTTTCCACACCCAACCCTCTCAGCACCCTCAGAGAGACTAACAACCTTCACAGAGATACTCTTTATGCATTTCCAGAGTCTGGGAGCTCAGAGCAAAGGCAGGAGCAAAGACAAACAATCCCAAAAGAACAAAATGAGGAAGAAGATGAGCTTTTTAAAGGTGTTGATCCCAAAACTTTAGCAGCTGTTTTACTGGAGGCACTGAATCACTCTTATCCTCTGCAGGGGAGGGATGAGGAGGAAGAGCATGATGGAGAAGAAGAGCTAAAGGCTGAGAGAGGGGAGGTTGAGACCTACAGTGAGAGAACAACCAGAGACAGAGATGGATGGCAGGAGTTAGAGATGCTGATTGCTTCTCAAGGTAAAGAGAGGGGAATAGAAGAGGAAGAAGAAAGGAAGAAAGCTCTGGAAGATGAGGAGAGAATGACTGAAAAGGTGACCAGTCATACAACAAGCCACACAATCCAGATTCAAACAGAGCAGCAGCCAGCTAGTTCAGATGGAAAAGCTGGAAATGGTGCTGCCACCCAGCAGGGATCTTCCAGCCCTGAGCAAAATAGCAATGAAGAGGAGGAACAGCTGAACTCTGAGGAGCTAAAGAGTCTGGAGACTGTGATGAAAGAGTTTCCTCGTTTGAACACTAAAAGAGGGGATGATGCTGAGCAAAAGCAAAGAGAGAGCAGAGCCTTCAGCAGCTACAATGAAATTACACCAATCCAGAAAGGCAGTGACCTTGCCTTGTCCAAGAAAAAACTGAAGTGGCAGGAGGAGACTCAGAAGGCTCTCTACTTCCCAACATTTGCAGAAGACAATTCTATATATGAACCTATGGTCAGCAAAGCAACACAGTCCACATCTTCAGCAGAGCAAGGGGGTATTATAGATGATAGCTCAGAGGAGGAAAAAGAAGAAGAGGTGCTGAGTCCGGAAGAGGAGGAAGCTCAGGCCAAAGTGGAACAGGAGGAAATAATGAGACAGGCAGAAGAAGCTCAAAAAGCCAAAATAGAGGAAGAGAAGTTGGCTGACATTGCTTCAGATATGTTACTGCGCTACATGGTCAAACAAAATGGGAACAAGAAATACAGCCCATCTYTATCCAACGCTGCAGAGGACAAGAGATCTAATGAGGAACAGGAAGTGACAGAGGAGGATGATATTGACCCTCAGACCATCGACAAGCTGATCGAGATCTCCAGCAAGTTGCACCTCCCTGCCGATGACGTAGTGGACATCATCACTGATGTTGAGAAGAAGAAAAAGAAAGACATGCAGTCTGAGACGTCGTCAACATGGCACAGTCGCCCATCGCCTCTGTCTTCCTCGTTTCGTTCTGGATGGCAGGTTTCCAATGATCAGAACAGCTTCTCGTTCTCTAAGAAACCATCTCCAGCTGTAAATATCCTTAAAACGTGGTTTCAGGAGAAAAACCTGCCAAAATCTGGCAGTTTACAAAGAAAACTTTCAAAACCTTTCCTAGCCTATCACAGAGTATGGCCTGAGAAGTTTATGCCCTTCAAGCAGGACCGCTTGCTCAAACCCCACAAGTATCTGTGGAGAGTCTACCCCTATCCCCAATACACCTATGCCTCCAACTATCAAAGGAGGCCCTTTTCAGACTATTACCCCTTCTACTTTACCTCTCTTCCCAGAACCAAACCTTATTACTACAGAACCAGACCTTCTCTCACCTTCAACAGCTTCCCTGAGAATACAGTAGATRACACTTTGACTTTCCCTCCCAAACGACGTTACCACAGCTGGATCCAACCACAACTAAGAAAACCTCCCACACATCTCCAACAAAAGTATTACTTTAAAAACTACCAACCCCAAACACATCCCCAGATGTTTCAGCCAGCACCCATCGCCCAAGCACGCACCCCACCTCAAACGGGGGTGATCCATTTTCAACCTAACCAGTTTTATACATCTACAGTGACAAAAAACAAAGATTATCCTGAGACAGAAAAGCAGCCAGATGATAACATTCATGAAGATCTGGAGAAATTCATACAAAAAGTTGTCATGAACAGACTGCAGGGGATGGACTGAATGATGGAAGGATGAATGGAATTAGGAAAGGATGGACTGAACAAAGGAAGGTTGGACTGTATCAAGGGAGAACGGACTGAACAAAGGGTAAGAGCAGAGGATGGAGAGTGGCACTAGAGAAAATGAGACAAAACATAAATGTGTTTGGTTGGAACAACATAATGTTCCCTGTTGGGACATTTTATTCCAGGAGAATGCTTGTTAGAAAGTTGGTGAAGATATGTTGAATGAATCATGTGTTTTGTTAGATTCTGGCAACATTAAACGATCAATGATTTTCCATGTTTATACACACAATGATTGTATCAGCATGCAGGAAAACCTGAAACACTTTCTGTGGACTCAAAGTAATTGGAAGTTAAGAACATCTCTGTTACTGTTTCTGATGCTGAATTTCTGTTCAGACAGAGGAGCACATGATGACCACACACTTCTGATTATGTCAGAACACATAAAAATAATATGAGGTCTTAAAATGATGAAAACACAACCTCACATGAACAAAACACTTGATATAACAAATTGCAACAGCATCTATAGAACATGACAGCCATTCTGGGTTGTAAGAGTAGAGGTCAACCAATGAGTTTTTCTATGACTGATGCTGATCATTAGAAATTATTAGAAATTTGAGCAGCTAATGGCAGATATAAAACACCAATTTGTTTTTTGTTTTTTTTTTTTGGGGGGGGAGGCCAATATATATATTTTCATTTGTAAAAATTAAACAAATAGCATACCCCCAAAAAATGTATCTTTAATTTTTAAAATACCTACAAATTATGTGTAAAAAGCAGTTTTGCTTAAAAACTATTATGTTAACTACAGGAACTTAGCTGGTTGAGTAAAGTTAAGTAAGCACA